TCCTTGGGTTTTGGGCCAGTGAGACTCTGGATGGTTCTTGGAACTTGAAACCCTACTATTTGGGCATTTGGACAAGTAGGGTGTATGATCGAAGACGAGAGACCCGTGTAGTCCCACCCTGGCACGAACACTCTCAACGGGATCGTTGGTCACACAAGACCTTGTGTACTCCCAGCACGCGCTACCAAGCTCGCAATCAGTATGCTTACAGTGGCTTTGGTAGTGAGTGGGGTACCCAAAACGTCAGGGACACAACCGATACATCGCCCCTCACCGTTGCCTTTGGATCAATCGAATGCAGCGGCAGAACGCATGCAACAAGTGTCTCCATCAATCAAAACACTGAGTATAATTACTACACATTAGATACCGTAAAGCGTTCTGCAAACGGTTCGTAACCCGAATCCCTAAACCCTTAACCCTCCAAGCCCTAGGCCCTAAACCTTCCTAGCCCTAAACCTTAAACCCTAAACCTTCTAAGCCCTAAATCCTAAACACTAAACCTAAACCCTAAACCTTAAACCCTAAACATTAAACCCTAAAAACCCTAAGCCCTAAACCCTGAACCCTCCAAATCCTAAACCCTGAACCCTCCAAACCCTGTCACTTTTTTGCAGCCGCCCAGGATCAGCTCCTGGGGCTGCCGGTCTTTGGTCTTTCTCCTCACGAGGCCCCGAAGGGCGGTGGGTTTATGGGCTTTAGGGGTTAAGGGTTTAGGGCTTCGGGTTTTAGGGTTTAGGGGTTTAGGGTTTAGGGTTTCGGGCTTTAGCGGTTTAGGGTTTAGGGTTCAACAGCTCCGGATCGAGCAGTCTCTAGTCGAGCTCGTCAATTCGACTTCTAAAAAATACCCACCCACCCACCCACCCACAGAATCCCAAAGCATTACGAAATAGCAAGTTCATCAATACATGGAGTTCAGCTCATTTTACATTTTCACTCCAGACGAACACTTGTTGTCTTCCTTGCACAACAACCGAAGAATCCACGACGTGTTCGCTTCATTTTGATCAGATCACCAAAGACATGTTCTGGGCGGCGAGTGTTTCTCCGCTTTCTAAGCTTCGAGCTCCTACTTGAAGCTTCGGACTACTCTTTGAGATAGGCCGAAGTTCTAACGCCGAAGCCCTAAGGCCGAAACTCGAAGGCCGAAACCCGAAGGCCGAAACCCTAAGGCCCAGAAATGGAGCGGGCCTTGCCGACGAAGTTTCGGGCCTTGGCGACACATCCGTTCGGGACTTGCCGACGAATATTCGGGCCTTGCCGACGAATCCGTTTCGGTCTTGCCAACGAATTTTCGGGCCTTCGGCCTTGCCGACGAAGTGTCGGGCTTTGCCGACGAATTTCATTAAGGATTTAAATAATTGTATGATAGAGAGGTCGAGGGTTTAGGGTGCACAGTGTTTGGGGGTTTGGGGCTTGGGGTCCCGGCGTTCTTCCGTTTTCATAGAGCTTTTGATAGGCTTTTGCATGTTTCCGAAATCAGGGTCTATTAAAGAGTACTTGGGGCGTCCTGGCACAACTGTTGTATGCAGAGGTCATGACCCAGTTGGAGCAGGCGTTGGAGTTTAGTTTAATGCTATGGCCGCTCCGCCTAATACAAGGGCTCGGAATAGCAAGTTATAGTAGTCCTTTGTGGTCCTTCGTCTCATTACAGTATAACCTGTAAAACTTCATTTCAGGCCGTCTACGACCGGCTCGGGTTGGAAAACCTTCGGTGCAAAGAACATCTGCATGGGAGGCTTGTTTCGCGGGGTAACGGTTCCTGCTAAGCCAGGTGCTATCGATACAGGAGCATCAACAATCGTTAGAATAGCCTTCCGTAAGACTCCTTCGTGTACTACAAGTAATTATACTAGACATTGCCTAAAGACCCGATTCTAGCCATTGAGGCCACTATATTTCTTAAACCTACCTACTAAGCCATGGACGTCCCTGGCATGGCACTTCGTCTACTAGTTTCAACCCGAGCCCGAATTCTGAGCATTGAGTTTGCAGCGCTAAGCTAAGGCCCCAAACAGTGAACCGTCACATGGAAGCCTCAATGATGCGTAACAGTACCCCCTGAGCGTTTTATACCTGTGTAGTTTCTTTTGTGTTTAACCAATTCTATGTCTAGGCTCAAATCGCACAAGAAAAGAACTACAATGGAGAGTGTAGGCATTATACATCCCCAAACACGGCTCCAATGATGAGTTCAGCCTCGAAAATCTCCGTCACACCCATATCACCCCTTAACCCCATAGTTTAGGGTTCAGGGTTTAGGCTCGAGGCCTCAACCCTAAACCCTAGACCCTGAACTCCAAACGGTTCTGCATTGGCAGGAGAAGTACCTGGCACCGAGCTCAACCAGGAATCGACTGCATCCTTAGGGTTTAAGGTTGAGAGTTTAGGGGTTTAGGGCTTAGGGGCTTTGGGGTCTAGGGTTCCTAAGGTTTGCGGAAGAGAAGGGGGGATCTGAGCAGTGGACTTGGTGTTATATATGGGTTCAGGATTTAAGATTGGGGTCTTGGGTTTAAGGTCTAGGGCTATATGGGTTCAGGATTTAAGGTGAAGAGTCTGGGGTTTAGGGTTATTAGGGTTCAGGGCTGAGGGCTGGCTTAGTCTACGCACTTTCGGTTTAGAGCGGCGCATGGTGTTTTGACCACCGAAAGCTTCCCATCTCCGGGCCAGTTTGGGTTTTCGTTGCTCGGACGTCGTACAAAAGTCCCAGCCGCAGGGCTCTACCGCAATTTCTGAAGGGATCGTGGCCCCAAACTGGCAAAGGCTCAAAGCTTAAGTTGATGCAACTCCCAAATGCCGATCCTGAATGCTCTCTGTCACCAACATGCCAGACGAATGAATTAAGAGTTTACGATGGTGGTCTACAGTGGGGTGAGTAGGTAGAAATTGAGAAATTCCTGTGGCTCCCGAAACCCTGTTTTAATTATGAAGGCTCCTGTCTTAGTCGTTCTGTTGCGGGTTTTCTACTCAGTCAAGAAGTCGCAGTACTGCAATCACATCGTGAAAGTTGAATCCTGGCTATGGTTTCCTTTTTGTGGTTCCTGTTTTGGTCTAACAAGTTTTTATGTTTAGGCTGAAAATACGATGGCGACGGGACTTTAGGTGCACCTTCAACCGTGCACCCAAGACACCCAAGTGTCCTCGTACCAGAACCGCTATAGTTTTTAATCGTGGGTATATCTAGGGTGGAATGAAGGGTCGTTGGCGGTGAGGGTGTTGGGTGCCCCCGAAACCCTAAACCTAAAGCCCTGTCCGCTATGAGCCTTAGACATCCAGGACTGTAAAGCAACTCCTCGAGGTGCCGTCTTTGGGGCTGACACGGTTTTGCAAGATCTTTAGAACGTTTCAGAGGGGGTTTGGGAAGGTCTTGGAATTTTGGGTTCGGGAGGAGGGTTTACTCGTTGGGCTTTGACCACGTTCTTGTGAGTCTTTATCGGGGTTTCGGTTTTCTCTGTACTGGGGCTTCTGCAGGGTCGTTATTTCAAGTCGCAGGGGTAATGAGTCGATGTGTGTGGGGTAAGCCCTGAGGCTTTAGTCTCACCTGTGCTTCATGTGCAGTTGCAGCCAGAACGGAAGCTCTCCTTGGCAAGATGACAGACCATCCCAACAAGAGTCTAGCAACTTATGCCTCAATGGACTCAACGGGGTCCCTATGTAGGTAATTGAAGGCCTAGTATATACTGTATAGGTGCATGGAGCCTTTGGGCATGGCAGTCGCAATGACCTTGGGTGCTTAGAGAACTCCAAGGTTAAACGTTCCTTGAAAAGCCCGCACTCCACTGTTGCTAAAGTTGGGGTTTAGGGTTTAAGGTTTTAGGCTTTTTTTGGTTTAGGAGCCTCTCCGCCATGACCATGTTGTTCGGCCATGGGTAAACCCTGGAGCATAGACCTGAAATCCAATCCTCTAACCTGGCCATGTAATGTAGAAACCTAAATATGTAAGTACCAACACTATTCTGGGGCTTCCTTAATGTTCATGTAGTATAACATACCCCCCTCATGCCCTCTTCTAACTATCAATCCCGCTACAGTATGCAAGTTTTGGGATTCCCAGCGTCGGTATTGGTTTCATCGTTCCGGAAGCCCGCAGCTCTACGAGCGGTCTGCGGCACTAAACTCCGAAGTTTCAGCTCAGGCTTTGTGGACGAACCCTAGGCTCAAACCTTATAGCCCGTAGACAAAGAGAGGCTTAACCCTGAGTTTAAAGAGCCCTAAGCCTACTAAGCAAAGGAAAAACCCTATATTTTTGAGCCCCTAAACCCTAAACTCTAAACCTAAACCCCAAACCCCTCAACCCCTAAACCCTAATCCCTGAACCCTGAACCCTAACCCGGAACCACGGAGCCAACGAGCCCCCCAAAAAAGAAGGCCACACGCTCAAAGAAGGAAGCAGGTGGGAACGAAGTCGTAGCGCAGGCTGGTTTAGGGCTTTGTGCTTTTAGGGTTTAGGGTTTCGGGTTTTGGGCCTATTAAGGTTTTAGGGTTTGGGGTTTTGTGTTTAGTGTTTTGGGTTTTGGGCTTTGGGCTTTTAGGTCTTTGGGCGTTTAGGTTTCAGGGGCCTTGCTGAATATGTTTTGGGCCTTCAGCGACTTCAGGGTGAGTCTTTCCCGGTTCTGACATCTCAATTACTCACTATAGGCGCCGTAATAATTACCTATACTTTTTGGGGGTTCCTTATCATGACTAGCTATAGTATAATGGGCCCCAAAACCCTATTCTAATTATTACGGCTCTTACATGACATCCCGAAATCCAATCACCTTTATGAACTCAAGCACTCCCTACATCCTGAAGAACCCTTGTAGCCCAGCAAAAATCTTAAGCCTTGAGCCTCAAACCTGAACCTTTGATTACTCAAACTCAAGATACTGTATAAGTGCAGCTCCCTACTTATGCGATGGTGTGCGTTGTACATCCACTACACGAAGCACATGTTACAGGCGCAATGGCAACACTAGACAAGCTGCTACTGATTAGCACCTGCAAACTTCAAGTCAACCCTGAACCCTAAACAGTAAAGCTTAATGCCCAACGCCCTCAGCCCGAAACACTCAACCCGCAACCAACCCTAAACCCTAAACCCTCGATGCCAAGCAAAGCTTCCGGGGCCCCGAATCCAGCATACTCCGAGGCGTCGTGGGGCTCAGGAGTGCTCACGGAAGCGTTAGATTAGGGTCTGGGGTTTAGGGATTTAGGGTGTGTATGCAGTTGCGCGCGTGGGTGCGCCTTCTACTTTAGGAACAGGGGGGCACCCACTCATCGCGCGCTTGCGTCAGCATATGTCCCGCCCCAACCACACCAACTATTCTCAATTAAGGTTTAGGGTTCACCCCGAAACCCAGATTGTGTGAGGCGCAGCGGAAGTCATTTCCGTCCCCGTATACCGGGAGGCTTTACCCTCCGTCACCTTTCTGTCGGGACGCTCGGCCGAGGGCCTCCCTCGGAGCCTCGAGTGCCCATGCAAACAGTCAGCGGCGCTCTCGGCAGTTTAGGGTTTAGGGGTTTAAACCATTGGCCAATCAGGACAGGGAGTGAGTGCCAACAGCCCAAAAGCGTGAATGGGAAGCAGATCTCACAGAGCACTGGGCAGGGCCCATTGACCGGATTTTGGTTGATGCAGAGAGCCCTGCGTTATAAAACTAAAGCCATGGAAACATGCTACAATACTCCTTGCTATGGATACTTCCAGATGTAGTCCATGAACAGTATTGGTGCGTTCGGGACACTTTTTCCATGGTATCAGAGAAAAACCCTAAGCCTCGAGGTCTCTCTGGGATCTGTCATAGGATTCATAGGGAGCTTTAGAACCGGGCCCTCTTTTGGGAGTCTCGTAGAGCCCTACATAAACCTTACACTTTACATGATCCGTACGATTTTTTTTTTGGGGGTCGAAAGTGGAGCCTGCCTTTTCTTTGGAAGCTGTCGTTTTTCACAGAGGCCGAAGAAGTCAGCTTCAGGATCAACCTGACTGAGAGACTTGGCCAGATACTAGAATATACGACCAGTTATTATGCACTTAGTCTAAAGCATGATAGCTTAATATGTTTCGTTTCATATAGTACGGTATACTATTACAAGATATGTTGCAACATAAAACCTGTGCATGTATGTTTGCTTTCGTTTGTGCATGTGTTCAGCTTGTGAGCACGCGTACTGCCACATGCGGAGGCTCATCGTCACTGAGACGAGGGCTGCAGGATTTTAAGCTTCCAAGAGGCTTATTGGCTGTAAACTCAACT